GTGTTCGCCAAGCCCACTGCTGACATCGCCTGGTACAAGGACGACCAGGCTATTCTCGGTGGAGCCAACATGAAGTTAGTTTCCACAATTCATTCAGTGTCTCTTTAATGAAGAAGTTTTGACCTTTGTGTTTCTTAGCTAAGGATGTTTTTTGTTTGTTTTAGATCTTGATGCAAAATATATTTTAGGTAAATTATATGTATACCCATGTTAGTTAAATGTTAGGTATACCCACGTTAGGTAAATGTTATGTATATCCACGTTAAGTAAATGTTACGTATATCCATGTTAGAACTACATATTTCTTTTCGTGAAGAATGCACTATGAGAACTATAACGACAAACTTAGAGAGGGTATCATTTTCTTTCATCAACATTATAATTACAATTTGTTTCATGGACAACACCCAACCTTCAGTACCTGCAACGAACAAAAGTAACCAAATGTCTCCTTTTTTCTCTATTTGTTCCGCAGAATTAGCAAGGTTGAACTAGAAGAAGGCAAGGGATTCACCACAACCCTGTCCATCGGCGAAACCTCAGCGGAGAACTTCGGAAGCTACTCCTGCAGAGCCGTGAACGTGATTGGCAAGACTGAGCAGACCATCGAAGTCAGGAGTAGGTATCTTTGGTCTCGAACTGTGACGTGTTCTTGTGGCCGATGGTTTGGACTGGTTTCTATTGGATTTTTGGTTTTTTCTTTTTTTTGTGTGGGTTATGTTGTGGCTATTTATCTATTTGTTCATTTATTTTTGCAGACAGCGTTCATTCAATCTTGTAGCTTTTCCGTTCATGAATCGTACATTTCTTGACTGTTGAAAGGAAGGACAGCAGTCTTCCGTAACTCTAATCCAATAGTTCGTTAGTGACGTAATTTCCATCCTGTAAAGAGAGCGATTGGAAGCCAAAACGTGTTTCCCAAAGCATCTGGAGCGTTGGCCCAGTTCTTTCTCTCAACCCTGCCCTCCCTACAGTGAAGTCCGCCCCCCTGATCGTGAAGCAGTCGCGCTCGGAGGTGCTCTACGACCTGGAGAAGACGAAGCTGCGCGACGCCCTCCCGGTGGTGGTCGAGTGCGAGGCCGAGGGCAACCCGACCCCCGAATTCCGCTGGACCAAGGACGGGACGCAGCTGGTGTGGCAGGCCGACCCCCGCTTTGAGCTCGAGGAGGGCACCGGCAACCTGCTCATCTCCGACCCGACCATGGACGACAACGGCCTCTACCAGTGCTTCGCCTACAACGAGCTCGGTACCGCCGTCGGCGACCCCGTCTACCTCCTCAACACCACCAGGATCGAGTTCTCCAACACCAAGGACGACACTGACCTGTACCCGGTCGAGGCCGAGCTCGGGCGCCCCTACAAGCTGTCGTGCCCCGAGGCCACCGCGTACCCGAAGCCCAGCCTGAATTGGGTCAAGGCCATCACCCGCGAGGCCCAGATCGAGCTGGAGTTCGTGAGCGACGAGCGCATCGTGGCTGACCCTGACGGCAGCCTGTGGTTCACGCACGTCACGGAGGACGACGCCACCGGCGACCAGTTCAAGTACATGTGCCTCGGCTCCACGGATTTCGAGCCTAACGACTACTCCATCGCCTCCATGATCGAGCTCACCGTCGTCAAGCCGGCTGACGGGAACGTCAATTCCGAGGAACAGTCCGTCAACGTCGAGTCCTTCAGGATGTACACGTCGCCGGAGACCGTCACCTTCCAGGCCGAGCAGGAGAACACGCTTTGGTGCATCTACGGCGGCGAGTGAGTACCGGCGAATGGCGCGTCAGAAATCACAAAAGGCCTAGGTGGCCAAGCAGCCCAATGATCATTTCTAAACTTCAACTATTTATTTTTTTGTTACTGACAGACGCATTACTGAAATGATACGCAAATATGCCGAAAATTCAAAATTCATAAAAATACCACCGAATAACACAGCGAATTCTCTGTCCGCCAGGCCCGTCCCCTCTGTGGAGTGGCGCCGCGCCGACGGCAAGGACTTGGACAAGGAGCGGTTCGTGACGCGCAACTTCGGCCGCACGCTCGTCTTCAAGGACACCTTGGTGAGGCGCAGGGATTAGTCTCCTCTTCCGCTGGGCTGTTTCCCTTTGATAAAGAGTAACAGTCTGATGGGTGGTTCTTGTGTTTTTAATGGCTAGGTGTAGAAACCTAGGATTAAAATATAAAAGGGAGCGGCTATGTAAAACCGTGTGAATTATTCCAGGCCGGCCACTTTATTTTAATTCGATTACTTTGTTCCATTCAATTATATCATTTTAAATCTCAACACACTTAGTTTCATACAATCATTTCTGTTATTTTGAAGATCCGTTTAACAGTTTTATAACGGATATTAAAACTCTTTAACACTTTCACAATAATTCCTACCCGATCTCATGCCCGCTCTCACCCGCGAATTCCTTCCCTCCAGCTCAGCGACGCCGGCGAGTACGAGTGCAGAGCCGGTAATGGCGTCGGAGATTTCAAATCGACCAAAATCCAAGTCGATGTGGAGCTGAAGCCCACCTTCAGGAGCGAGCTGGCCTCCCAGACGGTGCGGGAGGGCGCCACCGTCACCTTCACGTGCGACGCAGAGGCCACCGGGGACGTCATGTACAACTGGATCTTCAATGGCCGCGTCGTGTCCAAGGATGGTGGGTTGAAAATTGGGTTTCCGGTTTAATTTTTTTCGTCCTTTGTATAGTTTGTCTTCTTTCGCAGTTTCATTTGATTGGTATAGTCTGAGTGTCATTTGCCTCCGTTTTCGCTAAGATTTACTTATGAATGCGATGAAAACCACACATGTTTATAATCACGCTCCCTTCTGTCTCTCAGGTCACCATCGCCGCACGCTCACCGGGAATAAGCTCACCATCAACGACGTTTCCATGGTTGACGTTGGCAACTATGCCTGCAACGCCACTAGCGACACTGGCTATGCTTACGGCCAGGCTGTCCTCAATGTTATCCGTAAGTCATGCGATTCTTAGTTCCTTCTCAACAAAATAGGGTTCTGGTATTCTGTTGGTATGTTTCTACCAATCTACCTTCTTATCGATGCTGTTGTGTCTTTCATTTTTAAGAGATCCTATAACACCATTTTAGCCTTTAATACGTTCTGAATAAAATTCTTTCTTGTACTTTATCTGACGCACCTTTGACCCCGCAGCCGTGGACCGCAGCGCAGGCGGCGGCGGCGGCTCGTGCGGTGACGTCAGCGAACTGAAGAAGGAGATCTCCGCCCTCCGCGAGACTGTGGGCACGATGCACAGCCTGCTGAAGGAGCACTTCACCCTCTCGCAGCACAACCACGAGAAACTCCACAAGATCGCCGAAAGCATGAACGTCCCTGAGATCATCCAGCACGACATGACACAGCAGGAGGAAATGCCAAAGGGCGAGGCCGTGGAGAAGGCTGAGGAGGAGATGACGACAGAGTTATCCGCCAGCGCTTGAACGGCCGCGGGAAGCGACGGCCAGTTCTGAAACTTTTTTTTTCAATATTTGTATGTATGTGTGTGACACCTGTAGGCAGGTCGGTTATTTTGTCGTTTGTGTGAGCTTTTTTGTGGATTGGCAAACAAGATAACTGTCTTTTTGTTATATATATGCATATACATTTAGGGAACACTTTTTACTATGTCAAATAGATTATTTGATAAATTGTGGTCCGCGAAAATATATATACCGGTGGCCCTCATGAGATTGGCTCTGACGCTTTGCATGGCCAGAGTGCAGTCGCTCAGCCACAGTTAGTAGTTGTAACTTAGGGCATTCTGTGCAATACATTTATTGTCATGTTCCAAATACATTTTAAGAGGTACATATTGTGTTTCACTTTCCCTATAGAACAGCTGTTGATAACCTTGGGGGCGCGCTCCCCTAGGGGGTCTTCAGTATTTTCCAAAGGGGGCGCAAGTCTTTGGAGAAAAGGCAGTAATTTCTATAACAATCTTTGTTATTCTCTTAACGAGAACGTGGTCACATAGTGTAAAGTTTAATTATCATACCACTCAATTAAAAATATCTGGGAGGGAATTTTATTTACAGATGCAAGAGAGGCGTGGAGGGAAGGGCAAATGCTTAAAAGGGGGCGTGGTAGTTAATAGGTTAAGAACCAATGCTTTAGAACGACTGTATGGCAAGGTTTAATAGAATCTTTAAAACATTGTCGGTTTGTTGTTTTCTCGTTTATGAACTCTACAGAAGTATTGTTTGTTTGCCGTCTGTGAAAAATGAAATGATTATCAACATTAACAATTTCGCTTGGACACAAATGCAGCAGACTGTTAAAATAAGCTTCTTGATCCTCGATAGTTCCAAGAAGAAACATCTGCTTGTTGGGAAAAAGTAATATACAATAAGTCAGTTAGGACATGCGGTCCATTTGCTGTTCCAGCCATACTTTATGTCTTTAAGAACATCATTTCTAAATACATCAACACGCAAGTTCTATACAGAAGAAGGAAAACCTAATGTTTCTTAAAGTAAAATAACATTAAAAGAATAATATGATTAAGTCACTAAATGATAGCTCCATTGGTTAAGCCGCGGTCACACTACTCCATACCGGCTGGTCCCCTGTCAAAGTGTTCTAGTCCCGCAATACCGAAAGGCTGCTCACACTACCCCGTGTCTCCAGCCCCGTGATTATGTAAACGCGACGATCATTGCGCTCTTGAGGAAGCAGCACTAACTGAATATACTTTTTTTATATTGCTTTATTGTTATTAGTAGAGTGAAGAGTAAAAGGAAGCAACCGACACGATTGTAGGTTAGACAGTGCAGGATGTCATTAAAGAAGACGTTCCAAAGCAGAGGTCCGAGTACGCTTCCTTGGGGTACGGAGGCACTGATGGGGTATTCGGTGGTTTGGCCGTTCACCACCACGGATAGTGATAGTTTTGAAGGAGGTTCCCAATGATGCCAAATCTCCTAAGGCCTGACTCCATGACGATGACTGGACGAGAAGTAGGTCAGAGGCTGATCTCTGTCCAAACGCCAAACTG